GACCCTTTAATACTCAGATAATGAGATATTGGGGTAAATTCTATGCCTTTCCTGTGAAGAAAATGCCAACTGAAATATAAATTAACTTCAAACAATTATTTATAACCATATGGTTCCATATTTCATTTTTGGAAGAGAAGTTCAGTGTCAGATTGGAGTGTAACGAATAGCACAGGAATGTAAGCCCATTAAACACAGTTTTATCACGTTTAAAGCAGGGGAGTAAAAGTATATAGAGTTTTTAATTTCTTGTTCCAAGATTCACTGTATCCTCACAACAACCTTGTGAAGGAGAATACTCCCAGTGAGCTTTAGGGACAGGTCTGTCTTAAGGGATCTGGTAGGCTTTATTTGTATGTCTTCAAGTCATTTTGAATCTATGTAGAACTTATCATATTGGGAAGGGACTGTTTTTGCCTGGTTCTGATGCTGAAAGAGTATTACTTGCCCAAGGTCAAACAGTTGGTGTCTGAGTGAAGATTCGAACCCTGGTCTCTAAAGCTGAAGCCCAAAGCTTAAAGCGCTATACCATATTGCAGCTAGGACATGGAGAAATGGATTCAAATTGCAGGAAAAAAAGATTCCACATAAACATTAGGAAGAATTCCTAGACAGGAAGAACTATTCAACAGTGGAAAATGCTGTTTTGGAGTCTGGTGGAATCTACTCCTCTAGAGGTTTTAAAGCAGAGGCTGGATGGCCATCTGTCAGGGGATGCTTTGATTGTATGTTTCTGTATGGAAGAGGGTTGGAATGGATAGCCCTTGGTCTTTTATATAACTAGGGAAACACACTGCACAATTATGTCACTTTATCATCGCTTTAACTGCTAGGGATCCATCTTAAAGATTCCTGGAACTTGCAGTTTGGGAAGAATGATCAAAGTCCAATAAATGCAGTTTATTTACCACATTTATATATTTATTTACCACATTTATATATCGCCTTTCTCAGTCTGGAGGTAGCAAAGCCCTATGAATACATAGAAGTGTTAAGGGTTTTAATTCAAGGATACTAATGTATTTTAAATGATGATCTGGTGTTTCATAATAATTCAACCAAAACGGTGACTTTGTATTGTCTATCTATCTATCTATCTATCTATCTATCTATCTATCTATCTATCTATCTATCTATCTACCTATCTATCTACCTATCTACCTATCTATCTACCTATCTACCTATCTACCTACCTATCTACCTATCTACCTATCTACCTATCTATCTATCTATCTATCTATCTATCTCAACATATTTCACTGAGGAGCACCAGGAAGCGGACTTGGTGGTATGTTTCCCATTTCTATCTTCACAACAGCCCTGAAAAGTAGGTCAACCTCAGAAGGAATAACCGGCACAAGATCACTGATCTTGATCTGACGTTCCAATCATTGCACCAGACTGGCTGACTTGGACACTACGGGGATTATGCATTAGTTTTAATTTAAGAAATGTAGGTCAGGATTGTGTTCTTATGCTCTTCTTTTCCAGCCTGGGACATCATGGTACAAGTCTAGAAACATCATTAGACCAGACATGGAAAAGTACATGTGGACACTTCTAAGGGACAGGTCTTATTTTGGAAGAGCAAAGGTGGAGAAAGTAATTGGCTACCAATTACGCATATCTTATTGCACAACTTGGCAGAAGACAGACAGTCACTGGCACCTAATGAACTTGTCCATCATTCTGACTAACATGAACCTTACATCAAAGCTCAAAATGAAATTAACTTGGTTGAACGGAGGAGGACTGTCTGAATGGCCATCCTCGTATTCATCTATTGGAATTTTGTGTCAGAAGGGATAAGACTTAGAACTGAGACTGATTTGGTAAGATTAGAGCATGGCTCAGTTTTACTATCACCTGGTGTTCAAGTTCTAGTCCTCCATTATGCCATTTAATTGCTTGACCATTGGTTCTGCAGATAATTTGGCTATTTACATGAAATTAACAAAACCTACTAGTTCTGTTTATTTTCAGGTTTCTTATGAGATCATCCTTAAACCCTAAATAGAAGGAACAAATTTCAGTTCACAGAAGGAAGTATTAAGAGGGGAAGCAAAAACATCCACCAGGATTAGCAGCAAAACATTAAGATCAAAAAAGAGGTACTGACCAAAGGGTACAGTTTCCAGTGACTACTAGTTTATCTGAAGCAAGACATTTCTTGCTTCAGATTGGAAAGAAACCATTAGAAGAACATGGAGAACTTTGGAAAATTTGCCAAACCCAATGAAGTGCCTGAAAGGGTGTTAGTTCCAGAAGTCATATGAAGAGCTTGGGTTATATAAGCACAGGAGCCCCCAGTGGTACAGTGGGTTAAACCCTTGTGCTGAAAGAACTGCTGACTGAAAGGTCGGTAGTTCAAATCCAGGGAGTGAGGTGAGCTCCCGCTGTCAGCTCTAGCTCCCCATGCAGGGACATGAGAGAAGCCTCCCACAGGATGGTAAAACATCCAGGCGTTCCCTGGGCAAAGTCCTTGCAGACGGCCAATTCTCTCACACCAGAAGCGACTTGCAGTTTCTCAAGTCGCTCCTGACACACACAAAAATATATATAGGCACAGAAAATTGATTTGTTTGTAAAGGTACTGAATGTATCTTGCCAACTTATCTTCCTTTCTACCCTACATTAGACCACATAGTAACTTGGAAAGGTACTATTTAGAAGAATGAATACAATGTAATGCTGTAACAGAACTGAACAATGGTAGGATTATGCTCTGAGTCCCAATCTTCTTAAAAGTAACTTTCCCTAGAAAAGGGAGAAATTCCACAAGACTTCCACCAAAACAAAAGGCAGCTGAACACTCTTTGCTTTCTAGAGAGTAAGAATCCAACGGGAATTTCGTAAAAAAGGTGCAATGATAGAAAGAAAGGAAACAGAGTTGACAAAGGAACAAAGCGTTCTCGTTCCAACCGTAGGATTGCCCTCTCTTAATCCTTAAACCCTAAAGAGAAGGAACAAATTTCAGTTCACAGAAGAAAGTATTAAGAGAGGAAGCAAAAACATCCACCAGGATTAGCAGCAAAACATATAGAGGAAAACAGGTGATTATATAAAAACAAAACAGGGAACACACTCCAGTGCACAGGTCTCCTGACTTTGTGCTCCGTGGTGCTCAACAACACTCCTGCTAACTATGTAATGTACTGGCGAAGAGACCTAGCATTTTGACTCACATAGTCACTTGTACACATCTCACCTCTAGGAAATCAATTAAATTATTGCTTGCAGCCTTATCCTGTCCTCCCTGCATATCCTGACCTACCATTAAAATACTCCACTGGAACTATCCACACACAACAAGCCGTTATCTGCCAAAATAAACACTTCTGAGGAAAATGCAAGACACTCAGGAGAACATGAGCTTTGTTTCTCTGCAGAACAGAATCAAACGGGAGTGGAGAAAACACTAAATTACGAACAGCTCTGACTCAGATTGACAAGTCTATAATGAAGAAATTTTAGATATTCCTTGTTATGCAACCTACTGAAACTGCCTTTAGTGAAACTGTCATAATTACAAGTACAAGTGCCCTCTCCAGTTTTCACTCTGACAACTGTATTTCTCTGGATATCCATTTAAACACAGAAACAACCTCTTATTTTATCTTAGGGTGTTACTATTTGTCAACATTTATTTTATAGCTCTTCAAAGATCTCTGTAACACCAACATTTACTTGGAATTTCCTTAGGCCTGGCATTGGCAACTGGGCTCCTTGGGCTGCTTTTATGCAACCTTGTCTTGGTAGGGCCCAGCAATGATAGTTACTATGGTCTCTCCCTTTTATACTTTTTTCACTGGTTCACCACTCCAAGTATTGCCAAGTGACCCTTTCACAAAACAGACTTATAGCATTATGATCCCACTTTAACTGTAATAATGGATGCATCCTATGGAGTTCTTATTTTTGTAGTTCGGTGAAGCACTAGAGAAGTAGTTCTCAACCTGTGGGTTCCCAGGTGTTTTGACCTACAACTCCCAAAAATCTCAGCCAGTTTACCAGCTTTTGGATTTCTGGGAGTTGAAGGCCAAAACACCTGAGGACCCACAGGTTGACAACCACTGCCCTAGAGTTTTTCTGGTTGAGAATCCTAAATGTTTCTCCTTAACTTTCAAATTCCAGGATTCCACAGGAAAGAACTATAATGGTCTGTGTGTGTGCGCGCGCGCATGTGTCAGGAGTGACTTGAGAAACTGCAAGTTGCTTCTGGTGTGAGAGAATTGGTTGTCTGCAAGGACATTGCCCAGGCGACGCCCGGATGTTTTGATGTTTTACCATCCTTAGGAGGCTTCTCTCACGTCCCTGCATAGGGAGCTGGAGCTGGCAGAGGGAGCTCATCTGCGCTCTCCCCAGATTCGAACCTCCAACCTGACAGTCTTCAGTCCCGCAAGCACAAAGGTTTAACCCATTGCACCACTGGGGGCTCCTACTATGACGGTTAAAATAGAATAATAATGCTAAAGTTCTGTATTGTTAAAGAGCCCTTGATTTCGCTGCCATTTTAATTTCCCTCAGTGCTTCCCACATGCTAGCTCTGTTCCAGGTGAATCCTGGGAAAGTTAGCCTCCCTGTGTATTTCTTTTAGAGAATCTCTAAGGCAGCTGACTGCAAATATTAGGGCAAGTCCATGCTTTATTTTTCTTACTTAACAATGTAAGAAGAGCCCTAATGCATCAGATCAAAGTCCAGCATTCTGTGTTCATGCAAACCAACCAAATGCCTATGAGAACAGCACAGAATCAAGACACAAACATATTTAAACCCTTTCAAATTCCATTAAAATATAACCGTCCCAAGAAGAAAATCAGCAGAAACATATCATCTATTGAATGCACAGGGGAAGAAAACCTTTTCAAGGCTTGGCACTAAAAATGGCTAGTATGAAGTGAATGCCTCTGGGAAGGGAACTTCATGGAGCAGAATACAAATCTAAAAATGGGGGCAGGGATTGAACTTAATCAATAAATAAGAGTGGATAAAATACTAACCTGAGAATGTCTGAATATGTCACCATCACTTTCACTGTCTTTGCTAAGATAAAGGAGAAAAAGTTTAGATTAAAAGTGTGTCATAAAGTGCAAGACCACTTTCCCACATCAAAGGCAAACACTAGAATACTTTCAAAACACATCTGAAAAGAATATTCTGAGTGCAGCATTTTAATGCTCAAATCGCACATATTCACCTCCACTTTAGAGACACATATGGAAAAGATATTTCTGGTGACAGAGAAAGAAAAGGGAACCAGGTAACATCATTATCTTGCTCAGAGAGCAAATGTTTTTGGTTTTCTCTCAACTAGTGGCAGACATCACATCAGAATAACCAAGCTGTTTTCATCCAAGATAGCCATTGTAATGTGTGTGCTAAAGTTGGGACTGCCCATGCCATTCAACCTGTTGTTTTAATCTCTTGCTTCCATCTCTGTCACAAGCACAGTTGGTGGGCAACGAGGGAGAGGACCTTCTCGGTGGCGGCCCCCTGACTTTGGAACTCCCTCTCTAGGGAGATTAGGCAAGACCCTCGCTATCCTCCTTTTGTAGGGAACTGAAAACCTGGATGTTCCAGCAAGCTTTCGAGAAAGCTAGTCCCTAGGCCCAGTCCCTAGGTTGCTAGATAGTACACTGTTCTGCATTTCATCCACTTCTCCAACACTATGACACGTTATTTGCACTATTCCTCGCCCAGCCCTTTTACAGCTGATTACGTCTATTTTAGTATTCCTGGGTATTGGTATTGTTGAACGTCACCTGATGGACCCCCAATGAAATTGGTTTTATTTTTATTTCTAGTGTGTTTTATCAGGTTTTTGTGTTTTATATGAGCATGAGATTAGTTTTATGATTATGTTATATGTCGATTGTTTAATTGGTATAACTGTTTTAATTGATGTTTTAAATGTTATTTGTATTATTGTGTAGGCATCGAATTGTGCCTTTTGTAAGCTGCCCTGAGTCCCCCTCCGGGGGTTGAGAAGGGCGGGGTAGAAGTACTCAAAATAAATAAATAATTTTTTTTTTGCTATTTTGTGTATTAAGTTAAGTTACAGTTTGTTGTTCTATATTGTCTAATGTGCCTTGTCTGTTGTAAATTGTTTATATGGTTTTCCTTTTCACATTGAATGTTTGCCATATTTGTTGGAAACTGCCCTGGGTCCCTTTGGGGAGATAAGGAGGTCTATAAATAAAGTTTTTTTATTATTAGTTATATTATGTATGGTTGTAAAAGCTGGAAAATGAAGAAAACTGATATGGGTCCTAGAGCAAATCAAACCTAAACTCTCCTTAGAAGCCAAAATGGCTAAACTGAGACTATCATGAGAAGATATGGCTCACTAGAAAAGATCAACAGACCTGAGCAGAACTGTTGTGATATGGTCTCCATTCAACTTGATGGTAGTCAACAACAACAAAATATTAAGAATAACTGGTATGTATGATTTTTCTCCTCTTGTAATAAGAATGGTAAGAATGCTGAAAACTCAAGGTAAAGTGGGCTATGTATGACTTTTCAGAGTCTCCTAGCTGGGATAGCCTGCAACCATACTGGCTAGATGTTTCTGGAAAGTCTAGGCCCCCAAATTACTCTTCCAAACTCTAGTATTAACTAAAATCTTGGTTAGAAGTTTTCTAAAGAAGTCACCTGTTTTCTGAAAACACTTCCATGTTGTCATCTGGTCCTGCTCTGTCCACAGGTCTCAGGGGAGCAAATGCTTCCATTGTCTGTCAAAGATCAAATATAAAGACAATCATAAATAACTGTTTTCCAAAACTGAATTACATTTTAAAAAAAGAGTACACAATCTATATTTATTTTTCACGCAAACATGTCCATGGCATGCAAGCTTTTTAAGAAGCAAAACAGTTGTAATAGCCTCATGGATATTTCTCTTAAGAGGGACAGAGCCCCCCTAGGCATGACATCATATTGCCATCATTCTCTGTTGTTCAATCTGGAGTCCCCCTAAAAATCCAGCCGGATTTGTATATGCCAGGTTTGGGCAATGCAAAGGGTGCTGGATTTTTAGGGGGACTCACCAGTCCCCCTAAAAATCCAGCACACTTCACATTGCCCATCAGTCCTAGCCAGCATAGCTAGTGGATGAAGAATGCTGCACATTGCAGTTCAAAATGTTCTGGAATGCTGGATTTTATCCACCCTGGTCTATGGAATAACTAAGGCTTGAACATTGTGAAGGGGAAAAATGGTCTTTCAGCTGTCATGTTCATATCTCCTTGCTCTCAACAGTCATATTTTGTTGAGATCCAAGAGGGATTTGTAACAAGCTGTGGTGAAGAAGTGACAAGCTGTAAAAAGCTTAATAAGCCTACCTTCCAACCACATTTGTTATCTTGAGTCCCATACCTGCTATTTGGCAACATATGTCAACACAATCAATACTGAAAGTGCATCTGGCACCCATATTTACTACACTTCCAATGGAAGGAATAGCTATTATCCTGTCTAGAATGATGAAAACATATTGCTCACACATATTCACACATTGTATCATTTTACACACACCCTTACAAATAATGATTCACACCTTCCTCATAAACCCAAGGAGTTTTTTCTGGTCCCCCCCCCCCCCCCCATCTATGTTTTTCTGTTATATTTTTCTGCTCATTATTCACCATGACCACATGCACCAGAAACCAGGGAAAAGCCCAAGTTTCTTTTATGGAAGAAGGTCTCTAAAATAAAAGGGACAAACAGTTCGTGCTGGCTGAGGTTTGCTGGGAAATGTAGTTCAAAGGAGTGAATTTCCAAATTTAGACCTACATGCTGATCAAAGAGAACATGAGCAGACACAGAATTTGTTACTTGGTACAAAAGAGGTGCAAACTACAACTGATTGGTTAGTCTACCACTACCTTATCACACGGTGTTTTGTCTCCAAAATGCAGCACCATATTGGTTGCACAAGCAACTTGCTTTTTCTATTTACATAGTGGCAGAGCTGTCCTGTCTACTCATGCAAGCAGACACCCATTTAAGATGATATAATGTTCTTTAGTGCTGTGGTGTTGGAGGAAAATTCTTAGAATGCCTTGGACCGTAAGTTCAAACCAGTCCATACTCCAGGAATTAAAGCCCAACTACTCGTTGGAAGGAAGGATATTAGAGGCAAAGATGAAGTACTTTGGCCACATAATGAGAAGACAGGAAAGCTTGGAGAAGATAATGATGCTGGGGAAAATGGAAGGGAAAAGCAAGAGGGGCCAACCAAGGGCAAGATGGATGGATAGTATCCTTGAAGTGACTAGCCTGACCTTAAAGGAGCTGGGGGTGGCCATGGCTGACAGGGAGCTCTGAAATAGACTTGTTCAAGAGGTCACGAAGAATTGGAAATAACTGAACGAATAAACAACAACGCTCTTTGTGCAGTTGGTATAACAATGGCCAAAATAGACAAATGACCTTGCCAACTGGCTTGCCCATTCCACCAAGTTGGTTCCCATCAGCTCCCTAGTGGCCACTGCTATCTCCGAAAGATACAATTCCAACTGCAGTTTTGCTCTGACTCAGAGCAAAGTTACCAACATAGTAAGGAAAAGTTCTTCTTTTTGAATGATAACAGGGATTATAGACGGAAGGATTCCAGAAGCTGTAGCCCCAAATCACTACATCTCAAGTTTTGCTTATCAGTCAGGTCTACCAGAGACTTCCAGGGTTGCAACTCAGACAAACCACTCAACATGACAAACTGCAACTGGCATATGATGATAAGCACATGGTGCTTCAAGTCTCAGCATGCTAGCTGAAAAAATGATTTTAATAGGTTTCCTTACCAGAAGAGTATCCTGGTTATCATTCAGCTCAGAAAGTTTGGTGCTGGATTTCTGTCGCTTGGGTTTGCTTCTTTCTCCTACGTATCCAGAGCTGTTCTCTTGCAGTTTTTCTACTTCTTGGGCTGTCAGCATACACTCATCAATGCTACTGAAGCCAGAAGGAATATTCTCTTTATTGATGACCTCCCTAGACAGAAAAAAAGCGCAGGGTTACAGACTGTTTCAGCAAATTTGTAAAACAAAACCCAATTTTGGAGAGTTCTGGAAAAGAAAAATTGTGACTATAGTCCTTAATAGGAGTACCAAGTATTATAATTGGCAGAGAACAAAAGGGCAGAGACCCCAATGACATGAAAGAACAGGACAAAACAACCTCACTGAAGCTAAGCAGTTCGAGATTTGGTTAGAGTCTGAGTAGGAAACAGCCTTGAATTTCACAGAATGAAGGAGAGAAGTAAATGGAAATATTAGTCCCACTAATACAGTGGTTGCCAACCTATGGGCCACAGTCTACTGGTGGGCCACCTGACCTAAAATAAGGTCAAAGTATACACAGGTCTAGAAAAACATTGTCAAAGTTAAACAACAACAACAACAACAGCAACAACTTTATTTTTGTATCCCACCTCCACCTCCCCGAAGGGACTCAGGGTGGCTTACATGAGGACAAGCCCAGTCAACATAGATTAAAATATAACACAGTAAAATTTACTGCAAAGATAGGCAGGACCCAAACTGTTTAAGGTTTTGCAAGTAATAACCTGCATCTTGAAATCCACTGTAACACATCCATAATAAGCATCTCAATTGCTTCATTAAGCAGGTACAGACAACCTTGCCATAGATGTGAGAAAATACAATGAAGACTCAATATTTGCAGGCATTCCCATTCTTGTTATGGATACAAATAAATTCTTTACATGTGTTCCAATTATTATAACTTTTCCCTGCCATCTGTGAGGCAAACAGAAAGGATTTTCTTTACTGAGATTTCACCTATAAGCCTGTTTCTAATTTGTATGGATTATCATTTTAAATAATAATCTATTATACAGTCAGATGCCATGTATGTATGAGCATGATTCAGCTACACCATTCATTAAAATCTTAGCCACAAATCCTCTTAGTTATTAATTGCTTAAAGGGGGGGGGGGGTGAACACTGACTGAAGCCGAAAGAGGCAGGTGGATGCAGGATCAAGTCTACATTTTTAGTTCTACATTATTTCATAGGACAAAATATTTCACGTGAATTGGCAATGACAAGTGTATTAGTTTTCAGTGCAAGAGACATGCAAGGCAGATGTCCTAGGAGGATTTTCCCACCAAATCTATTTAACATAGGTTCAAGAAGTGAAGATAAGGATGCAGAGCTTGGAAATGCTATTGGATGAGTTAATATTTTGAAACACACCTTCCAGAATATTTCAGAGAGCACATCCATGCATGTGATCATACTTAGTAGTGTATTCTAAGATTTTAAGGTTAAGGTAAAGGTTTAGCCTTGATGTTAAGTCTGACTCTGGGGGATGGTGCTCATTTTCATTTCTAAACTGAAGAGCCAGCACTGTCCATAGACACCTCCAAGGTCGTGTGGCCGGCATGACTGCATGGAGCACCATTTCCTTCTTGCCGAAGTGGTAACTATTGATCTACTCACATTTGCATGTTTTCGAATTGCTAGGTTGGCAGAAGGTGGGGCTAACAGTGGAGCTCACCCCGCTCTCTGGATTTGAACCGCTGATCTTTTGGTCAGCAAATTCAGCAGCTCAGTGGTTTAATTTGCTGCATCTCTGGCTCATCCTCTGTTTGGATATCGGCCAGCATGTCAATGTCTTAAATCAAGAAACAGCTTTCTAAGATCTACAGAGACACTTGCAGCTTTTTAGAGGGACAAGGACTGGAACGGCGACTTGACTGATGAAATTGTTTTATGGTTTTAATGACTGCTTGGTGATGTACTGTTTTAGTATGATTTATGTCTAATGTGTGGTTTCACTATTGTAGTTGTAAGGCATTGAATTTTGCCATCATCTATATGTAAACTGTTTTGAGTCTCTCTAGGGGTGAGAAAAGCGGTATATAAATACTGTAAATAAATAAATAATAAACTTGCAGGAACACCTCAGCAAGCGAGAGTCCAAAAGTGGCAGGCTAAAACCGAGAACCTGAGATCAGATGAGAAACTCCCTCCTGGGCACACAGATGAGAAACTCCCCTCGGGCACACAGAAGGATGGGTGACTTGGAATGCGCTGAACAGACTGTGCTCTGGCACCACAAGATGCAGAGCTAACCTTAAGAAAATGGGGCTACAAAATGGAGTCCAGACATGTGAGTGTGCAGAAGAGCAAACCACAGACCACTTACTACAATGCTGCCAAAGCCCTGCCATATGCACAACGGAGGACGTTCTTACAGTGACACCAGAGGCACTCCAAGTGGCCAGCTTCTGGTCAAAGGAAATCTAGTATAATGCCAAGTTTTAAATTTTGTAGATGTACTTTTTAAAATATATTATAACTGTACCCTCAATTCACTTCTGACACGATGCATAAATAACCTGTAAAGAAGGAATGTTATCTATAATATTTCCTTCTCTACCAGATTCTTTCTTCTACTTTTTAAAAAACATGAACCTCAATGCTCCCTGAGGCAAAAACCATAAATTGCTAGACCAAAGAATGTAGGCTGGAATGCTGAAAAGTAAAGGTAGGAACACGCAAAGTGCTAACGGGGAATCAACTGCAATTGGAATCTGATCCTATTTGATTTCTATTAACACCCACAAAAAAGGAAACAGCTCCAAATGTTTACAGCAGGTCAGTCAGAAACTTTTTGTGGAAAAATATCCAACTTTCTCCCAATGTTCTGATTTTATCAGTCAAGTACCAATGTTTTTATACACAATGCTGCAATAAAAAACTATTACGAGATACAGATCTGCAGAATTTGCCTGCCTGCTGAACTGCAACAGGACAAAAAAAATATATGTCTGTATGTTGTTACTGAAAATAAAAAAAAACACAGTTTATCAGATATTTTATTTTAAGGATACCATCTGGGCCACTTTGTACTTTCATAATGCGATTCCATGTATTTTGTTGGCCATCACGATACAATCTATGCATATTAATATCATCTGGTCTCCTTTCACCTAAATATCCTAATGCGATTCCATCTTATAAATTCCAATATTACATCTTGGGTCATATATGCACACAAACCTTGATAAGACCCAAAGAAAAGATATGCAGAAATTATTGCTTTTCACATCTCACAGTGGATTTTTAAAGCCATTTTATATGGATACAGTTTTTGGGACTTTTTGTCAGTTTGTCTTAACAGGGATGTGGATTTTATTTGGGAACAGGTGAAACATTAGTCTGTGCTTTCTGCTCGTGCAGAGACCATCAGTAGAAAAGCACAATACTTGCTAGATAGACAAACAGTCTCAGTGTAAGGCTTATAAGAAAACGAAGCTTAAAAGGCATTTTTTAAATATGGCAGATCTGCAATTCAGTGGTCAGGCTGCATAAGGGGAGGGGGAAACACCCAGCTGCAGAGCTATATGCTGCGAAACACGTACGCTAGCCTGCCTCTGACCTACTTGCCTGAGAAGCCTCACAGCATGAACACAAGAAGAATGTTACTTCTGACAAAGGAAAAGGTCCCCTTGTCCCCAAAGGCTATCATTTTTTACTTTTTTAAATGGAAATGTTTTCACTGAACATTTTTAAAACTTAGGATATTGATGTTCCATTTCCTCCCCTGCTCCAAATAAAACAAAAGAATTAAGCAGTCCAATAACTGTGAAAAGTCACAGCATGTTGTTAACACCAAGGATGCATCTATACTGCAGAATTTATGCAGTCTAATATCACTTTATTTGTCATGGCTCAGTTCTATGGGATCCTGGTAGTTTGAGGAGGCACTGGCATTTATTTTACTTTTTTGCAGTTGTTTATTTGTTTGGTCACTTCCGACTCTTCGTGACCTCATGGATCAACCCAGGCCAGAGGTCCCTGTTGGCCATGGCCACCCCCAGCTCCTTTAAAGTTAAGCCAGTCACTTCAAGAATACCATCCATCCATCTAACCCTTGGTCGGCCCCTCTTCTTTTTTCCTTCCATTTTCTCCAGCATCATTATCTTCTCCAAGCTTTCCTGTCTTCTCATTATGTGGCCAAAGTACTTCATCTTTGCCTCTCATATCCTTCCCTCCATTGAGCAGTCAGGCTTTATTTCCTGGAGTATGGACTTGTTTGATCTTCTTGTGGTCCAACACACTCTCAAACTTTTCCTCCAGCACCACAGTTCAAAAGTGTCTATCTTCCTTTGCTCAGCCTTCCTTATGGTCCAGCTCTCGCATCCATAGGTTATTATGGAGAATACCATTGCTGTAACTATGTGGACCTTCATTGCCAATGTGATGTCTCTACTCTTCACTATTTTATCGAGATTGGTCATTGCTCTCCTCCCAAGAAGTAAACGTCTTCCGATTTCCTGGCTGCAGTCTGCGTCTGCAGTAATCTTTGCACCTAGAAATACAAAGTCTGTCATGGCCTCCACATTTTCTCCCTCTATTTGCCAGTTATCAATCAGTCTGGTTGCCATAATATTGGTTTTTGATGTTTAACTGCAACCCAGCTTTTGCTCTTTCTTCTTTCATCTTGGTTAGAAGGCTCCTCAGCTCCTCCTCGCTGCCAGCCATCAAAGTGGTATCATCTGCATATCTAAGGTTGTAAATGTTTCTTCCAGTAATTTTAACTCCAGCCTTGGATTCCTCAAGCCCTGCACGTCACATGATGTGTTCTGCATACAAGTTGAATAGGTCGGGTAAGAGTAGACAGCTCTGCCGTACTCCTTTCCCAATCTTGAACCAGTATTTTTTTTGCAGGAAATACTTTAAAAACTTGTAAAACGACAACTCCCAAGATTCCATAGCATTAAGCACTGGCAGAGAAAGTGTTCTCAAACTGCATTATCTCTACTGTGTAGATGCACTCTCACTTATACAGAGCCACATCATTCCATTTCCACTGGGGACTGGTTGTGATCTGTACGAGTTCTCAGTCTGGCCTATACATTTCTTCTACTTTTGTCTCAAATTAGTGATCAGAGATAAGAATCTGTTTCAAGCTTGGGAACCTATTACATGGATCTAAGCACAGTTTTTCATCCAATGGTACTGTGGGTGGGAGATGCTCCTGAGTAGACCTACACAGAACTGAGCTATGCTTTGGATGGTGGGTAGGAAAAAGTTGAAATGGGTAAGAATTACATCTGGCAACAGTCACTTTGCTTTTAGCCCAGTGGTTCTCAACCTGTGGGCATCCAGGTGTTTTGGCCTACAACTCCCAGAAATCCCAGCCAGTTTACCAGCTGTTAGGATTTCTGGGAGTTGAAGGCCAAAACATCTGGGGACCCACAGGTTGGGAACCACTGCTTTAGCCCCATTTACAGCTGGAATGCAGACCTCAGGCTGAAAAAGGTTCCTCACCCTTGATTTGGTTAAGTTTTCCCAAGCTGGGAAAGGCTTTTCCCAGCTGATTACCCAAGTTCCTGCTAAACTGGAAGAACGGCCACACATGTGCAAAAGAATATGTACGCTGTTGCCAAGCTCTGCTCATAGCAAGGGAGAACTCCAGATCTTCTTCTGTTCAGGAAGAGGGATGACATTAGAGCAAGTATTATGGCATGGGAACCTTGAATAAAATGGGGGACTGGAACTTCACCAGTGGCCATTTGCACATTGAACTCTTCAATCAACTGATAGGGATTTGTAAGACAACTTTGGCCAAAATGGTAACCTCCAGATGTGTTGGATCACAGGTCCCATCATGGCTAGCCTGCATCATGCCATAGCTGTGTAAACCACTATCAAGAGACCTACCTGGAAGTCACTGGAAGAGGCATAGGATTTGTCTTATGTTGATTCAGTTCACATATTATCTCTGCTGAGTTTTGGAACTCCTTTACAACCACTTTTGGTTCATTTGTGTTTTCATGATCTGTCAGGAACCGGTTTCCAGGCCTTGAGTCTTGGCGCAAAAAACCAGAATCCTGACATGGAGTGCTGATAAGAATGTGCAGCTGGTGGCCTTGGGGGGAAGTAGTTGGCATTTGGCGGGGAATATTGCGCGGGATTCTCGGCTGGCGGGAAAGGGGAATTCAATTGTAAGGGAGGGTATATAAGGGTTAAAATGCGGCTGCAGGCCAATCCTGGCTTTCTTCGTGTATGAGTGTCCAGCAGTAAAAGTTCCTGATTGATTACGGATTGGCGTCCTGTGTCGTTATTGGGAGCGGCTGCTGTGAGCTTACAATGATCACTATAAACATGACTGTTAAACAGATCTGAGAGTTTAGGACCAAAATATCTATTAAACTGTCTCAGATTTATAAACACATTCTTCCTCATTACAGCATTACACACTGAAGTGATAAAACATAGCTGCTAACATGGAACGGGGTTTCTGTCAGTGAAGTGTTTTGAAACAATACGGTGCTTCCATCTTATGTAATGACATTTTTTGGTAGCAGTGCCTCTATGGCTGAAAAGCAGTCAAGGATGACAACACTATTAAAAGAGTAAATGAGCAAAATGTCTGTTCTACAACTCATCCAAGAGAACAAAATCCCACCCTCTGAATCTGTAAGGAGATTGATATGAAAAGTTTCTAAAAAGGAGGGAGAAACTCTTAACATACCTCTCTCGGGTTCTTCGGGCTTCATCCTGTTCTTTATGGTGCCGCCTTCGCTGCCTGGCAGAAACATTGGAAGATGTTGAGGAAGTCCCAGATTCAGAGTCTTCAGAACTTTGACCCCCGGAGCCATGAACGTCAAAAAGATGCTGCTCAACGGCTGACCTGATGGTCTTCTCTAAAAACCTGTCAAGCCAAATTAAAGATATGGCCACATTTAAAAAGAAGGAATATATAGCTCAGAAATAGACTAATCTCCATTAGAACTTGTCATCATCAAATACTAACACGGAGTGAGGCAATTGCATGAGGGACAACTGGGGAAGATTTTATGTTTCTGGAAGCATTGTGGAGCTATTCCAGACTGATTTAAAGAAGTGTTAGTTCTTATTATATAGATCAGTGGTTCTCAACCTGTGGGTCCCCAAATGTTTTGGCCTACAAAGCCCAGAAATTCTAACAGCTGGTAAATTGGCTGGGATTTCTGGGAGTTGTGGGCCAAAACACCTGGGGACCCACAGATTCAGAACCACCGATATAGATCATTAGGTTTTGCTGGGGGATTTTTTTGCCAATTGATGTAATCTCTGTATTTATGACAATCTTTTGGAAGACTGCTTCTTGCAATTTCTTGTACCTGGACTAGAATATTTCCAAAGCTTTTTTTTTTTAAAAAAAAACATGGTTTGCTGAAGTGATTGAAAAGAAAAAAAATCTTTACTGTGCAAAAGGGTTGTTTCACTGATTCACTAAAAAGTGAAAGGAAGAGAAAAGGATACTTTTTGTCCTGATATCTGATGGGTATAAAATGTGGTAGGAACTGAGAAAAATGATCTGGGCCATCAATAACATCATTTGGATAATTGAATCCCATGCCCAGGAACAAACACAACAAATAACTACAACTTCCAGAAATTCAGGACAAAAAAATGTTGCCTAGATCACTTCTATTTTTAGGACGATAAGTTAAATCTGCGCCTGTTTGACTGTTTGAATGTTTTTATACTGTTTTTATATTGTTTTTATTTAAATTGTATATTTATGCTTTTGTTTGTGGTCACCATGGTGTGTCGGTTGTTAGCCACCCAGAGTCCCTCTGCGGAGGTCGAGACAGGACAGGATAAAAATGTCCAAAATAAATAAATAAATAAATATTAACAAACAAAAACAAAAGCCTGAGAAAGTCACATTGTCACCACTAACATTCTTTTGACCTATTTCCTGTGTGCAGAAGAGCCACACATTGCAAAAATTAGGAGAGAAGAAAACTGGAAATCCACTTCTTAATGTTACATGTACGTATGCATGTAAACAGTCACTCCTGTGCACTTCCAAGAGAGGCCAGATTAAGGAAAATTTGAACTGTTTGGAGGGGGTGGGAATTTATTTTATTATATTATATTTTCTTTATTTATACCCCACCATAGCCCGGGAAAGCCATTACTGTGTGTATGTGCTTTCTTATAGCCTTATGGCAACCTCATGAACTTCATATGGTTTTTTTTGGCAAAGAATCCTCAGAGGTGGTTTTGCCAATTCCCTACTCCGAAATATAGCCTATAGCATGTTCTACTCACTGGCTGTCTCCCATTCAAGTACTAATCTGGGCTGACCCCACTTAGCTTCCAAGATCAGATTGCAATCTAGTGCCTTTAGGGAGGGAAACTGTAAACTAAGACATGGACAAAGTTTCCCAGAGCAGACTCAGAAGCAGGGCTGGGTAAATTTTTTTGCCCTTGTGGGGTGCACTTATTGTAATCCACACACACACATATGCTCACATTTCAGCATTCTGGCATAAGGTGCTTTACATCTTTTCCACTTTCTAGCAGCTCTGGAATTGTTGGGTGCGTGCATGTATGTGTGTATTCTAAAGCCTTGGCCTGCGGCAGCAATTCCAATAAAGATAACTACTAGTATTGATCTTAGCTTTTTTTTGTTTCAGTGCTGCAATCAGCAATTTTCCCCCAGGGCCTGGCAGATCAGTTGTACTGTGGGAAAGCTGATGGGAGTCTTCAGCCAAAAAAGAAGTATAGTTGAAGACAACAACATGACAACTTGTGAGCCAAGGACATGCCAGAACTAAACAAAAAATGGCACACCAAAATGTTAGAATCGAAATATCTCTATTTATCCATCTATTTAGAGTACTTATATCGCACCCTCCAGCCAAAACAGATTTCCAGAGTGGATAAGTTGATAGCTACTTGATCAAATCTAATTTTTAGCTATGTATAACTCTACTGAATGTCTTCAGGGATACAGGTCTTATAAGCCTGACCAGTGAAGAAAATGAAGAACTGAGATTAAAGCATAATAGAACAAAGGAAAACAGAACAAGACATAAAGTGGTCACTTACTCTCCAGTAGCAGGGATGCTGTTGTTGTTGACTTGTGGCACATGAGCACTGCGGGAAAAGAAACTTAAGGTTACATCAAAATAGGAAAGCGAAAGTAGAAAATCAGTTTCCAAAACCTTCTATGCATACAAACCTTGGGGCAGTTTCAAACATGCAAGAACATTATTTTTGTACTCTGGAAATGATGAACGAATTGACTCTACTGAAAAGTACAAAACTTAAGGTGAGGTAGTGATTGAGAAATTCAAGTCCCCACGGTATTTCAGCCTTTGGCTGAAAACACAGAGACTAGTAATTCACCTGTTATATCCAGTGGCGGCTGTGACCTGTACGTTCATGGCACAAGGCAGGTTGTTCACAGCAAGCAAACAAAGCTCAAGAGGAAATGCTTTGACTTAAGCAAAGAATATAAATCTAAGTCAACACAGTTAACCCTGGTTTTACAGAGCAAGTGGATTTCTTATTTTTTTTTTTGTCATATAAATACTAAAATGTAGAAGTGTTCCCCTGCAATTGCTTTTGGACTATAGTTCACAGTAGTCCTAACCACATAATAAGGTAGATCTTACCTAATGAGTTCTTTAAAGGGGTGCATTTTATTGGTTTTGTCACAGTTTTATATTATTGACCTAAACTATTGATGTTTTAATATAGTAGCATTTTAATTGTTTTAAAACTTATTATTACTCATTTTAATGTGTGTGTGTGTGCATGTGTATGCACACTTTCACATTGCGTTATGGCGATCTCGTGGATTTCACAACATTTTTCTTGGGCAAGGGATACCATTCCCTTCCTCTAAAATACAGCTTACAGCACCTCGTGGCTGCCCATCCAAGTGCTAACCAGGGTTGACTCCAAAATCAGATGGGATCTGGTGCCCTTGGGGTATTGAAATGAAGGCATGTGCCTTAATTTCTTTCATATGCGAGACATTTTGGCTCCCATTTGGGAGAAAGGTAGGATATAAGATGCATACATTCATGCATAAGCAAGCAAGCAAGCTAGCTATGTTGAGGAAACATGGGAGCTGTAGTCCAGCAATGCCAGCACAGCTGCACAATCCTCATCCTTGCTTTACAGCAAGTCCAAGGCAACTTTCTTAGGACCAGAACTTTGCACCGGAACTCTGAAGGCACATCTCCTTCCAACATCTGGGGACACATAGGTATTTGCACTGTATTTATTTATTTACCATATTTATATACTTCCACACTCAGCCCAGCACTGTGCCCTCTATTAGCTGTTTTAGCCAATGAGAGTGCCTTTAAAAAAAGGCAATTAATGGCTAGGAATTCGGGGGTGGGGGGAGTTTCCAATTGGGCGTAACAAGGAAAACCTGTCCCTCAGAGCCCCTAGAGGGCAGAAGAGACCTTTCTCATTGAGAAAGTTACTGGCTGGTGGGCTTCCTTGCACATTGCCTACTCCTTTAAATCAGGATGAGGAGGTGAATCAGGGAAACATCTATAATTGGTAGTCCATGTTTACGAGTTAAACTTTTGTAAATTTGATCATTCAGGGCTTTGATTATTATGTTTTCTCCAGAAACCTCTAGGTCCTCCAGCGAGATTCTATGGTCAATGTTCGGTGGACATTAATAATAGAGTCTCACTGGAGGATTCTGTGAATCTTAAAGAGGAGATCTATTTGTTTTTAATACTATTTTTATTCATAGTTTATCTACACCTGGTGTGCTGCTGAACTTGCTGACCGAAAGGTCGACAGTTCGAATCTCGAGAAAAGAGTGAGCTCCTGCTGTTAGACCCAGCTTCTGCCAACATAGCAGTTCAAAAACATGCAAATGTGAGTAGATCAATAGGTACCGCTTCTGCGGGAAGGTTATGGTGCTGACCACATGACCTTGGAGGTGTCTACGGACAACACCAGCTCTTCGGCTTAGAAATGGAGATGAGCACCAACCCCCAGAGTCAGACATGACTTGACTTAACCTTTACCTTTACCTTACACCTTATCCCAGAGAATGTGAAGGACTGACTGTAGTGTGATATACAATCTCTCTCTCTCTCTCTCTCTCTCTCTCTCTCTCTCTATATATATATATATATATATATATATATATAGACACATACACACATACACACATATGAGGCACTGCACCAGATGCAAGTACTACTATGTACCAGTAAGATGGGGGACACATAAACAAAAGTGATAACATGACATCTATCTGCCTGAAGGCTTCCCATAAGAGTCTTTCTGGATAGGAATATTGGACAAAGCACATTCTTCATTCAATGTGGCATGGAAGCTTTCCTATTCATAACACAGAAGACAGGCATTGCTTGTACCTTCCTTTATTTTTATTTGTTTGATCCAATACCAGTAGATGTAGTAGAAATAGAATTTAGAAACATTACCATTTGGGAGAATAACTCCAAGCATGATGGTCATGCTCTCTGGGGGATTCTTGGAAGTTTAATCTAAAATTGTATTTCCAAGTTCTGTGCAAGAAGCATCTCTTCTCAATGTATTGCATGTGGCAGTATACATACTAGTGAACATTATAATTTTCCTGTGTAAAAAAAAGATGCTCTCTTTGGAAAGATGGTTCTCATTTATCATTTGTTCTCTGTCGAAACAATTTCTAACCTAAACTCCAGGCTGGAGATGTCCCTGTTGAAAAGCCTTCTCTTCCTAGGAAGCTTAAATGGCACTTCCTCAGACCAGGTCTCTTAATTGCCTGTCAAGATTATATTTGAGACCTGCAACATCCTGTCTCTCTCTTTCCCCCCCATCCTCCTTCCTGCTGACTCAGCTTTGTAGATAAGAAGGCCATGTGACACTTTCCTGAAGTTCACCCTGACTACAGTATTCATTAAACCAAGTTGTTAGGAGCTTAGGGCATTTCATTTGGCTTGATCCTCTTATCTGCAGGGGAATTAGTTAGCCCAGCTGGCCAGCTGGCATGTATGTAAATCAACACGGCATGCTTGCATTACCAAGGTCTATGTGAAAGCTACACTAAGAAATGCAGAGCTCAGCACACCTCCCTCAGGCACACTGGCTGAGCAAGAACCTCCCAACAAGTGTTGTATGTTTTACATTGAGCATTCTGACGTTTTAAAGGTTTCTTTTTCCTGCATTCTTGTTGCTAACCTAGCTCCTCTCTATCTTATATTCCTTATCATTTTTTACTGGCCTGATTGCGATTTGTTATTGGGATGATAACCTTGGTTTGACTTGCTTCTCCATACTCCTCCCTGAACATTTGCAGACTGCTTCTTCCCTTGTGCTTTTCCAATCTAAATTAAAAACATTTTTTGTTTTTCAAAGCTTTTTAGTTTAATATTGTTTTATAGTTTTGTACGTTTAAGATTAAACTAAAATTCCCAAAGCTTTGGAAAATAAAAATGTTTAATATTGTTTGTTTAAGATGGGCCCCTTGGTGATGCAACGGTTTAAACTGCTGAGCTGCTGAACTTGGTTGGCAGTTTGAATCCGGGGAACAGGGTGAGCTCCTGCTATTAGCACCAGCTCCTGCCAACCTAGCAGTTTGAAACATGCAAATGTGAGTAGATCAATAGGTACTGATTCTGCGGGAAGGTAATGGCACTCCATGCAGTCATGCTGGCCACATGACCTAGGAGGTGTCTACAGACAACACTGGCTCTTCAAATTAGAAATGGAGATAAGCACCACCCCCAGAGTTGTACACAACTAGACTTAATGTCAAGGGGAAACCTTTACCTTATGTAAAAGATAAACACGTATATTGATCTGTTTGTCTTATACTGTATCTTATCTGGCTAATTTGTTTCATAACCGTGTTGTATGGGTTAATATTTTATCATTCCTTTCCTCTGTATTTACATATTTTAGATTGTCCACCTTTGGAATGATCCACTGTTTTGATTGTTTTGCTTGTAAAGTGCCATGCACAGTGATTTATAAACAAATGATAATAATAAATCTTAATAATAATTCCTACTGACAGTCACCTGGCTTCTTTCCCCCATCCTGGTTCAAAAAATATGAGAAAAGAAACAGGCAACTTATATCTGACAAAGGAATCGGCAACTGAGTAGATAATGGCTGAATTTTGCCTCAATAGAATTTAGCATAGAAGCTTTCCTAAAGTCACCCTCAAGGTAATTTGCTGGAGATCTTATAGAATCATAGAGTTAGAAAGGACCTCAAGGACCACCTAGTTCAACCCCCTGCCATGCAGAAATGGATATTGAAAGAACTCCAAATCTCTATTTAAAACTGTCTGGAGGAATCTATTCCACTTGATAAAGAAAACACTAAAATACTAAGACCCATGGAAGTGTAGTGATTTCAGTGTTTGATGAGGACACTGAAGGACCAGGATTCAAATCCCTATGCAACTATGGAAACCCACTGGATTATCTCGGACAGATCATGCCCTCTCAACCTTAGAGGAAAGTAATGGCAAATATAAGTAAACATAAAAACCTGACATATGTCTACACAGGAAACTGAACTGGAACAGATCGGGCCATTTGTCTATATGGCCCAATATTCCATATTTAAAGTTATAATCTCTGTCTGAGATCTTTCTTATAATCTACTTTCCAACCTTTTTAAATAGGAGATGCACAGGACTGATAAAAGGACATTTGACATACAAAACATGTGTTCTGCCACTGAGTGATGAGTACTCCTTAAAGATATCATGCTCCTGGCTGAGGTACACATGCACTCATGTACACAGAGCTTCAAGAAGATGCAACTTGGATCTTCTTTTTAGCATATGTTTGAAAGGAATGTATAACCCACTAAGTATACCTGTATGATACCCATGTTAATGTTTCTGCGGGTTGTTTTTAATACATGGTATACAAGCCCTGTAGGCCACATCTTGCATCTGCTGGTGGGTCAGGAATGCATGTGCCCTCTCCTTCCTTCACATCTTATGCAGATAATTTGGGATGAAAAGATGGACAAGCTGAGATCCAGAGGTCATTCAGGATAAATGTTGGTGGTGGTAGTGATGGATGTAAAAGCTTCTTCTATCTCCCCATATACTTGAATGAGATTGCCATCTCCTACTACATCTAGCAGGA